GAGAAAACAAGAAGGACGTTATCCATGCATTATGATCGTATATATCTACTCACTGCTGATCAGTGGAACAGTGTAGTTTTAGCTGTGAATGGATGCAGTGTTGGAGGGGAACTTTGCATTGATTTCACAGAATCCATGAACCACCTCTTCTCAGTTACTTTACAAGGCAGTGATACTCATGATGGGTCACCCAACCTGTGCAGTAGTAAGTTATGCAGCTGGTAGTGCACAAGTATTATAAACAAACTTAAAATTCAAATGGAAATTAGCAAAAAGGGAGAATATCTTGCATGTGAAGATATAAAATTACCCAAGAGGGCTGTCTTGCATGTGGTAGACCAGCCTCTGTAGTGATTTATTATGACAGACAGGTCAGATTCTCTATGAGGGCAATACTTTTGCAAATATGGGAGGTACCATTGATGCCAACTTAGAAAAGTGAAATATAGAGAAAGGGCGGGGGGGGTGTGTTTCTTTGTACTGGCTTGTACCGAGAACACTGTTTTCCTTCTGTTTCCTTGTATTTAACGTAGAGTGTTGTGGATGAGTGATGCTTTTCTTATTCATATGTCTGTTTCTTTTTTTCTCAATCCTTAATCTGAAAGATTAGTGACACAGTGGAACTGCTACTTGTGCAATGACTATCTGCACCATTGGTGCTAAGTGTTGAGGATAAAACTAATGTGGGGCCAGATACTCTCCCATGTCCACACTGTGGGAAAAAAAAACCCTCAAAACTACAGAGAGTTTTCAGCAGGCAGATTGCAGCAGCTTCAGGGGAGGAATGTAGATGTACAACAGTGTTTCTTTATCCCTGTCACAGCCATCTGACCGCATCATGGCCCTGTACCTTGGGAACGTGTGGCCAGCCAAAGTAGAGAGCAGCCGTTTTGTCTGGCTGTTTCCTTCACAAGGCGTGGAAGTTACCAACACGCTTTACGGTTGCAGTTGCTTATCCCCAGTAAGTTTTGAATTGAAACGTTAGTGCAAAAAGAAGCAAACCCAAGCATCTTCAGATATTATTGGACTTGTGTGGAGACAGTATTGTTTTCTGGGCTCTCATTCCCGTGGTACTCTGCTCCTCAAAAACTGGTAGACATGTCCCGTAACTAAGCTGTCGTATCCATTTTGAGCCTGTCATTTTGTGTCTTTTACGGTGCAGAGGGTGCTGGTTGTAGGTTAGGTGCATGAAATCCTTGTGCGGGCGTTTGCTCCACTGCTTGGTGCTCTGTAGCACCGCATGTTCGCTTGACCGCATAGAACCAAAAGAAGAGGGAATCCTGTGCTCTTGTACTGTTAACTCTTTGCCTTATAGTAAGCCCTAAACTTTTGTGCTATGTTGCAGTGCTAGTGAACCTAATGCCCAGAGACATTATCATATCCAAATTGAGTGAAATCCTCCTCCTCCAATGTATTTTACCTACCTCACAGGGGTGTTGTGAGGCTTGACTAATGTTAGCAAAGCACTTGAATATCCTCTGATGAAAGGCATTTAAAAGTGCAAAGTATTATTTTATGTGGTTGACCAAACTCAACCTCAATGCCAGTATGTAGCGTCACATTTTTAATTTCTACTGAACAAAATCACATGCAGATTTGTTACAATAAAAAAGCAAGTTAAATATTATTTAATATAACCTCTGCCCTGTAATGAAGGCCAAAATTATGATACCCAAAGAGAGTGCAGAAAACCAAGCCTTCAAACGTGAATTGCTTTGAGGATTTCAGAGCAAAGAAGTGTGCATAATGGTCTGTCCCTTTGCAATTTTATTCAAGATTGTCTTTGATTACTTTTCTTTTTCAGCACCACAGATTAAACCACATACCTCTAGGATGTGCATAGAAGTTTCTGGTCTTTCCACTGGTAAAGGGCAGGCTAACAATGTGTTCCAAAGTTGAAAGTTTATTTCAGCCTGTGTATTCTGCACAGTGCACGGAAATTACCGCTGTTGCTCATTTGAATTGAAGTTCTTGCACATTTAGCTGGTGTTGGATATAAATTAATATTTTAGTGGCCTTGAGCAACTGGTCTACCACAGACACCAAGCCCTAAATGTATCTGTTATACATACCTATTGATGTATTGCTTATAATTGTTGTATTCTAGTAATGTTGGTATTACTGCTATAGCTAAGGTTGAGCTGGCCTTTCCATTATAATTCCCTATTATTTTATTTTTTATATTTTGTATTTTGCTGTTTCACACTGAATCAGGATTAAATTTAAATGGATTAAATCCAACAGAACTATAACTGTTTTCTACAATATTCAACCCCACTGCATTTAATTTATGTCTTTAGAAACATTTTTTAATAAGAAGTTCCACACAGCTGTGTGTTAAAGAATATTTGATACCTCATGGAAAACTCTAATACAGTCTGCTTAGAAAAATCTATGTATCTTATTGATTTTCTTTCTCCTTTACTATTCCTTTTCTTCCCTTGTCCTTATCTAAATATGAGCCCCATTTTTATGATTTGGGTTGTGATTAAGAAGCCAAGCACCCCAAACTTTTCAGCATTTTCAAATCCAGGATTTAATTTTGTCCTTTCTAGTGAGAGGAGATGCTGCAAAATGCGGATCCAGTGTGGAAGTGAATGTCACTCGTCATTTTATAGAGATTTGATGAGGCTTGTATCTCTAATCAGCCTTCGTATGACTCAGGATACTTTGCAGTTATTAATGGATACGGCTTACTAAATCATATAGGAAGACCTATCAATAGAGATGATTTTATGCCAGCATAACAATATACCTATTGTAAAAATTCCTATTGCATTTTTTTAACATTGTCCACTACAAAAATCTCAGCCTATTACTTTGCAGCTGGTAGAATTATTCATGTATCCACTGATAATGGCTGTTAAAATGATAGTAGCTACTAATTGTGACTAGAGCAGAACAATGTGAAAACATTCTCCTGAAATGAAATGTCACTTCTGCTATTACTGGGACATTGATTTTGATGAAAAAAACTTAACGTTTCCTTAAGTACATCCAAAATTGTGACCTTTGATGTTCTTTTCAATGAATATGACAAGAATTGCGACACTATGTTGGAAACTGAGGATGAATTTTGTGTAGCTTTTGGGCTGTTGTGGCTATTTCACTGAGCTCTGGAGTGTCAAAGGAAGTATCTCCCCTGATGCAGAAGGGTGCTTTCACAGCAAAGATCCTGGACCGTACAATTAAATCCTTAGTAGTAAAGAATGAAAAAAGAATTTATATA